TACGATTATCAGTATATTATAGCATATAGTTTGTTTGCATACATTGCTAAAACATCAATTGAATTGCATTGTGATTTTTGGCCCTGAGCTTGAGGTTTGCTTTGAAGTGGCTTTATCTTCTGTTTCTTTCGAATATAATATCAGTAATATCCTTATGTCGGTATGAGTCGTATGACCTTATGTGGACGACCGGTTCAGCCAATTAACTTCAAAACCGAAACAAACTTCTCGGTAAATTCAAGACCTGATAGCATTTTGACATATAATATGAACAAGCTGTTCTTGGTAGGGATGCAACTACCTGAAAAATATAAGGAGAATTTCGACGTTTCGAGCGAAGGCCCTTTGTCTGGAGTTGCTGGAGTTACCTAACTCCTTCGTCTGGAGTTACCTAACTCCAGACGATAAGGACCTTCGCTCGAAACGTCGAAATTCTCCTTATATTTTTCAGGTAGTCGCATCCCTACCAGCGAAAGCTTGTTCATATTATTGACACTACTTACACTGGCACAGATAGTTTTGATATATTATACGTTTGCTGTGTGTACATATCGAAGCTAAAAGCCTAATAACTGATATGGCTCAATATACTTTCAGTCCGCTTGAATTGAATGCTGTGACATCGACAATCCGATATCGGGTTAATACATAGTTACAGAAGGCCTTTGTTTCATGTTGAACTGTACCTCACCGCGCACAAGTTCTTTGTCTCAACTTCATTAAATATTATTCTACCCTGGTTCAGAGGCAGAGCCTCTGAACCAGGGTAATATTATTCATCGCGTGGTTGCACGTTTCATCTCGGCTATATCCCTAGATTGGACGGTTACAAAAATACAATAAGCTCGAGTACCGTGACCGTGCACAAATTAACATAAACTCAGACAAAAACATACAACAAACATAATAGTTTTGTTTGTGGAAACACCACGTAAATTTATTACTGCAAAGCTTTCGATCCGTAAGCCCGGATCTTCAATAAGTAATCCGTAAGCCCGGATCTTCGATTACGGATCGAAAGTTTTGCAGTAATAAATTTACGTGGTGTTTCCACAAACAAAACTATCATATTTTATCGCCATGCAAACATACAAAGAACTTAATACAACAAACACTTCTATTTATAGTTTCCGACCATTATATGATATTCATATCTTGATATATACCAATATCCGGAAAGTTTGTGTAACATGTCACTCTAATTTTGAGTGGACTGAAAAAGCGGAATTTTTAACATGGCATGAAAAAGACGGAGTGTGTAGTCGGAGTAATGAGTCTGACAACTGAAAAATTGTTTATATATGCCCTCATTAAAATCGAATCTTTGGGGAAATAAACATTTTTTGACAGACTTCGCGTTTTCCACTTCATGCCCCAGTAAAGTGGAAAACGCAGAGTTCATTAAAATTGAATCTTCGGCAAAATAAACCGGTTCTTTTTTACAGACTCTGCGTTTTCCACTTAATGCCCCCATGAGTGGAAAACGTGGAGTCTTATTAAAATTGAATCTTTATGCAAAACAAACATTTTTTGACAGACTCCGTACTCCCGACTCCGCACTCTCGGTTTCCACCATGTCTTTTTACTGATGCGATATACAGCTATTTCGATTAAGGTTGTCCATGGGCAAAGCGGACAAGTCGAATACGAGCGCGAAAGGCTGCTGGGAATCGCTTTGAAAATTCATTAATTTGTTACCGATTCCCAGCAGCCTTTCGCGCTCGTATTCGACTTTTCCGCTTTGCTCGTGGACAACCTTAAGGTAATTCCGCAGTAATTGTTCCCGAAATGAGAATGTGCTGAAACTTCCCAGGCATGGAGTTTATGATATACGTACTTAAGTAAATCACACAAAAAAGTCGGGGTCACCGAACTCGTTAACGCTCATTACGAGTAACAGCAAACTCACAACAGCCCGATATTTATCGACGTTTTTAGCGCGGATTTTGCTTTAGTAATCCTATCTTGTAATTATTTTTGAAAAATATTGTGTTTTGAGCAAAATGAAACTACTAACGTGTATAATTCTGATCCACAAATGTCTTTTGCACATTTCTTTATATATCTTTCTTTCATTTTTTTGCCAACCCCGGAATTTTCAAAAAAAATTCATTTTTTATGCATTGTAAAGCATTTTTTTTTTCAAGTTCAAGAAATGATTTTTCTTTTAATTTCGGAAATGAAATGTAAAATGCATTAAAGAAATAAATTATCAGTTAAAAACGGGGGTCACCGACCTTTTTAGGGAATTGTGGCATAAAACGTGAAATACAAGTAAATAAATATACTACAGACACAGGAACCCTAGCTACACTTTTGTATGCCTTTAGTTGGAAACATTGATTTTAACGTAATTCTTTGCACGAATGTAACCAAAGACGTTTTGAAGTAACATAAAATTGTCATAAAATGATATTTTTTTTTAAACGGTACGTATAATGGATGAAATTATAAGTTATAAGATGTGCGCAGTAAAAGTGCACAATGCAAAACTGCGGAATTACCTTAATTGAAATAGCTGTATACACCTTATAATAAACATTCAATAATCCAATACCTAAACAATTTCCTTGTGAATTACTTGGAAACAATCTAAGTAAATTACTTTAAAACCAAAATATCGATGTCATAGAAACGGCAGTTGCGTAACTACAGTATTGTGAAAAAATTCAACTCTTAAGATATTATTTTACAAAAGTAAGATGCTTTTTGTTTTTCAACGAGTAATACATGTCCAAAAATTCGTATCTGAATCGCAAGTTTTCAATTTTTACAGTGAAAATACAAAAAGTGTCCCACTTCCGCTTCTGTAGTTTGTTGTCATTTGCTGTAATTTGTTCTGTTTTTCTGTAGCGATTACCGATTTATCGGCAAATACTGCGATAAAATTTAAATTTCGTACCTTTTATGCAATGAAACTAACGAAAAATGTATTATTTCCCTTTGCTACAAATTATCACACTCAAAAAGTAGAGAAAACTAAGTTTTATCGCGGTATTTGCCGATAAATCGGTAATCGCTACAGAAAAACAGAACAAATTACAGTAAATCACAACAAACTACAGAAGCGGAAGTGGGACACTTTTTGTATTTTCACTGTAAGAGAACTGCATCGATTCACCTTAAAAAACTCTTCTAAATCTGAAACCTAACACCAACCAACTAACACGAGTCTTTGGCCTAACGACCGGCTTAAGGGACCATTCATCATGTCAGTACCCGGGGTTGGTACCGAAAAGATATGGGTTGGGTAATCAAGTTTTTGACTAACCACATGGGTTGCAATTGGGTAAAAAAATTATGGCTGTCTGTCAGCTATAAAATAAAACCAAAATTACCATGCATTGGAAAATATGAAGAAAATGTGCACAATTCATTCTGTACCAAAATAGACCATCAGTGATTGAGGAAGGACTGTATCATTGATCAGCAGACATGTGATTGTTTTGGCACACTCAGTGAGTTTGAGTGTGAGTCGTGAGCTTTTAGAATTTAGGCAACTTGATTTCTGTCACCATAATCTTGTTTGTTTAATTATTATGAAGTACACTAACACATCCCACCGGGCACACGACGTTGTTTCAACGTTGAAATTTGGTAGAAAAAAGGTTGCGACGTCGACAACCTAATCTCTACGTTGCTCTGACGTTGTTTTACAAACATTGGTTCAACAGCAGCCAACAGACGTTGAATTAACGTTCATTCATGGTTAAATGTACGACGTCGATTTGTGAACCAATCTCAACGTTGTTTTAACGTGGATTGAACGTTGAATTATGGTTGACGAGATTGGCAACGTTAATTTCAACGTTGTTTCAACGTCGAAACAGTAACGTGGATCCAATTTGCATAGTCAACCCTTTTTCAACGTCTGTCCAACGTCTGGAAGGTCATTTCCAACGTTGATTCAACGTTGGATAAACGTCATTTTGCCCGCTGGGATATGGGTTGGGTAAACATTATTTTGACCAATGTGTAAGTTGGGTAAATGAAAAATTTACACTGTTTTTCGCTTCTCTTCGGTACCAACACCAGGTATAAATAATGAACGGTCCCTAACCTCCATAATGAACAAGCTTTCGTTGGTTGGGATGCAACTACCTGAAAACATATAAGGAGAATTTCGACTGTTCGAGCGAAGGGCCTGCGCTGAATAATATTTAATGAAGTTGAGACAAAGCATTTGTGCACGGTGAGGCACAGTTCAACATCAAACAAAGGTCTTTTATTTTGTACCTTTGAAGTTTGGCTATATGGATTATCATTAGATTTATAATTGATTTATCATTGATTTATCATTGATTTATCATTGATTTATCATTGATTTATCATTGATTTCCATTTTATCATTGATTTGATCATCTGTTAGTCTAATCATCACTCTAATTTTATTTCAAAATCATCATCAGTTAGTCTGACGATGATTTTGATGAATAAAATCGAAATATCACATACTCATTCTGCTCGTCTTGTTTTTATTCGAACCTTGAGTTTGAAGGTGCTAAACTTCCAATTGTGTTTTGTCTGATACTTTTTGAAATTGTCGACTAGTATGTATTGTTTTTTAAAAAAGAAGAAATCAGTCTGAGCTAAAAAAAAGAAATACGTGGCAAGCGACAGAGCAAAAGATATTTTGATTAAGTTTTGACTTCTGAAAGTTGAAAAATTGCTTTTATTTTGCAGTGGCTTACGTACAGTCCTTACAAATAAGTGAGTAAATTATTTACAATTTGGAGAAACATACACTAGCATCACACTAGCTTTATCAAAGACTTCAAATTGCGCTCGTCCTAATTCGGACAGTCGGACGCATGCAATTCTCGTCCATGTTTTTCCAAATTGGACTCGAAACCATACAATTACCTATGCAAATTTTAGTGTTGTATAAAATTTGATATAAGCTACTGTATAAATGTATAATATTGCTGTTGAAAGCACATCGCACGCAAATTATTTCAAAATTATAGTTATCATGCTAAAACGCTGTCGTTGTGGCTTTAATGTTTATTTTTGTGTTTTCAGATTGTCAAAGTCTTTTTCTCAGGCATGTCGACTCTGGAAAGTGTATTACAGCATCGGAAGAGCTCGTGTATGATAATCCAACGTATTCGTTTCCTTACTTTGTTGTAATGACTGACAACTGCTTGAATGTCAGTGCACAGTTTCGTTATCTTGATAGCGAACTGTTACACAATATCGAGAAGGAGGGAACGTTGATGACTTCCACTACAAATACAGACTATCAGAGTCGTTGGGCCGTGTATAAAGGCGTATCAGCAACCGCAATAAGAACTCAAAACAGAGCTCGATACCGTTTAAAACAAACAGATGCTGGATCTTTATTCTTTTACTACTGGAGTAGGAAATTATGTGCTGATCCTTCAACAAAATATGTATTGAAGAGCGCGATATGTGACACAGAAAAGCAAAAGTTTACTTTTGGTAAGTGAAATGTGTACGTAAGGTATCACTGTACAATTCACTATCAAAGACAAAATAGACGGAGAATTAACTCGCTATTTATATCACCAGGTTCATTAGGGCTGTACGTTAGTAAAACTGGTAGTAGTAAAATAACATAGAACATTTTTTTTAGATTAGCTAGGTAGGCAGAAATTTGTGGTGAACAGCAAGGGCATTCATAAACCTAGGAGGGGAGGGGGGGGGGGCGGGGATGGCGTGGGGCGCTACCAGTACCTAGGATGTTTTTCAGGGAAAATGTGAAAAGTCGAGGCTCAGATGATCTGACTTTGTAGGCGGCTTCAATAGCCAGCATCTATACAAAGCGTAATTGAGGGTCTAAGGCTACCTATGAAGAATTCTTCTAATCCCCACCCTGAACCCATTATATTACTTGATATCAAATTTCACTCTGGTATAAACAGAAATTAAATATTATACATGTTTTTCTTAGCTGCATGCATCAATTGGGAAGAGAAGATTTATACCCTAGTCTATTTTAGGTTCAGTGACAGCCTACAACGCTAAAATGGAATACGTTCATTGTTCTCCAAAACAAAAGATGGTGGTGAAGAGTGCTGATTATGGAGACTTTAATAAGGGTGGTGCCTTTAATGACGATGAAAATTTTGATACAACCTGCAGCAAGTTAACCAGTTGTCAGGTGAAATCTCTTTGTGATGGAAATAGGTCTTGTGAACTGACCATGGACAATAATTTACTCCAACCACCGTATTGTTCTGATACTTTGAAAGAAATTTATACCAAGTACACTTGTGTGGATACCTCCAGCTCTTCCACTATAACTACAGGTAATAATGATATAATTACGACCATATTATCAAGACCGTATCAAAGGCACTCCTAGACTATATATAAACTAAACATGCCAAATAAACTTGACTACACATGTTTATTGCTCTTTTGCGCCAATGAATGGCATCGCTTTTCACGTGTGTCTGTGTTAGCATGGCATTTTCAGGCGCGCGAAGGAAAAGAACATAAATTTTACAAATTAAACTTAAATAACAACCAATTCGAATTTGTTATGTTGCCTCAGTGACAATCGTATTTACCAATATAAGCCATGCACCCCACAACAGTAACAAATATACAGTATGCATGCAACACATTCATAAATTATTGTATTACACAAGAATTATGTACTGTATTTACTCGACTGTACAAAAAAAGTATAGTCAAATTATTTTGCACAATTTTTTACTCACTCGCGATCGGGGAACCCAATCAAGTTCCCCTTGGTATACCCATTTTATTAGCAATCCCAGATCAGGTCAATAAACATTTGATATTTGAATTATTTTGATATTTTAATTTATAATTTGCATTTTGTACGATTGTCGTAAAGGAATTCAAGATAGTTAATTAGAAATCTGCTAGATTTTAGCAGATCACGTAACCAGCGTCTACCAGGCCGGGTCTTTGCTCCCCAAGAGAAAAGTCCCTGGGTACGAGGTTGTGGTATACCCAGGCATAATTGATGAACGGTGTACTTACAGCGGTGTACTTACGGGCGTAAATCTAAATGCTGCAAATTTACTTTAAAGAATGAAGGACAAAACTCAGCAATATTACACTACGCTTAAATTGGAATAGTGAAGTAGTTTTTTGGACGTAATGAAAGATTTATATTTCAAAAAAAAATTCAAGTGCACTGTTCGATTTTAACCACTATAATTTTTTCATTCCTGCTTTAGCGCCCAGAATTAGATTGTCAAATCGAAACACAGGTTTCATCGAAATAAGAGATGATTCAACTTGGAGGAGAGTTATTGAAGAAAATTGGGATAAGAACCGTACAAGCACTTGGGATTTGAAGAGACTGCTGACAATAAAATTGTTACCAAACAATTAGGCAGTGGACAAAATATTGCAACTGGAGACTTCGTATGTTATAACACTATACAGCCGAGTGGAACATCCTGCTGTATCCATCTTCAACCCTCTACATCCCCTCCGAGTACTACGATTCCATATGTGCAATGTAAGTGTATAGGCCTTGGTGTAGCAGACTCAAAATTTCGGTGAGCAACGCCGTATACAAAGAATTGAATATTTAAATTATAATGTCGTATGTTTCCCTGAATTGAGCACAATGTACCTGGTCACGCGGGAATATTGCGTCACGCCAGGAGAAATCACGCGATTTGGCGTAGCAAAAACAATGCACTGTAGACCTTTCCCCTTTTAAGTAAAATTTTGATCTAGACTAGCCTGGACAAAAATTTCATCACAGCTTGAAAGAGCATCACAAAATTAGTAATATTCCGAAGTTTCGTTGCGAAATGTTGTAAAATGCAGATAATATAGCCTTGCGAAGTTTGCCGTTTTTCAGTCATTTGGTATTACAAACGGGAAATTGATAATCAGTTTGATCATCTGATTATCAATTTCCCATTTGTAATGCAAAATGACTGAAAAACGGCAAACTTCGCAAGGCTATATTATCTGCATTTTACAACATTTCGCAACGAAACTTTGGAATATTACTAATTTTATGATGCTCTTTCAAGTTGTGATGAAATTTGTGTCCAGGCTAGTCTAGATCAAAATTTCACTTAAAAGGGGAAAGGTCTATTGACAGCAAAGAAAACCACTGTTTTAACTCGCTGGAAAATTATTGGAGTCTGTAGAAGGATTTTGTAGACGGAAATTTCGAGCGTAAATTTTATACAATTACTAGATCTGACCAGAAACAGTTGCGAAAAATGCAAATTAGTAATATTCCGAAGTTTCGTTAATGCGAAATGTTGTAAAATGCAGATAATATAGCCTTGCGAAATTTGCCGTTTTTCAGTCATTTGGTATTACAAACGGGAAATTGATAATCAGTTTGATCATCTGATTATCAATTTCCCATTTGTAATGCAAAATGACTGAAAAACGGCAAACTTCGCAAGGCTATATTATCTGCATTTTACAACATTTCGCAACGAAACTTTGGAATATTACTAATTTTATGATGCTCTTTCAAGTTGTGATGAAATTTGTGTCCAGGCTAGTCTAGATCAAAATTTCACTTAAAAGGGGAAAGGTCTATTGACAGCAAAGAAAACCACTGTTTTAACTCGCTGGAAAATTATTGGAGTCTGTAGAAGGATTTTGTAGATGGAAATTTCGAGCGTAAATTTTATACAATTATTAGATCTAACCAGAAGCAGTCGCGAAAAATGCAGACCCTGCTCAGTGTTGTCAACCGGACTCTGTAGCTCAGTTGGCTACAGACTGCACCGGGTTCGCATATTGGTGCAGGTTTGATTCCCTACAGAGGGCCTATCGTTGCATTTATTACAACCGCTTTTTGTAAGTGTGCCAACATGAGCTCCACCTTTGAATTTACTATATGAGTAAATTCTTAAACACGTCCGAATTTATCATTATGATAAATTCGCGGTACATTTTGAATTTATCAACAGAGTTAATCATAAAACCACAAGCATTAGATATTTTCAAAAAAATATTTTTTAAAAACGTTTTAAAAAAGTTTTAAAAGAGTTTTAAAAAGCAAAAAAAGTTTAAAAAGTTAGACTATCAAAAAAGTTTAAAAAGTTAGGGTTATAGGGTTAGGGGTTAGTGGTTAGGGGTTAGTGGTCGGGGGTTTGGATTAGGGTTAGTGTTAGCTAGCTAGGTGCCGTGAATTTATCATAATGTCTAATGATAAATTCGGACGTGTTTAAGAATAGGGATGAGCCGATTAATCGGTAATCAGCCGATTATTTTAAGAAAAATAACTCTATAATCTAGTAATCTATTTAATTCTATATTTAATCCCATATCCATTAATTCATTTGACTCGTACAGTGACCGATAACTGTCCAATATGAGTAAATATTTTCCGGAGCACACTAAAACTAGTACGTCAATTTGTGGCGTATACACATGTATTAAAAGTTGTCAAAAAAACCGTTATCCGGCGCTTGCACCCCGGTACACAGAAATATCGGCCATAGCCGATTAATCGGCCGATTACTCTTTTATATCGGCTCCGATATATCGGATCGGCGAATCGGCTTTTTTTTGGTATCGGCTCATCCCTATTTAAGAATTTACTCATGTAGTAAATTCAAAGGTGGAGCTCATGCTGAAGTGTACATAAAAAATGTGCACTCGAGATTTCCATCAAAAACTCTTCAACAATTCGTTCTATCGAGTAAGATCATGGCCAAAATGTGATATTTACCCAGAAAATGATTGCCTTTCTGAATTTGTAGTTTTAACTTAAGAGCATGCTGAAAAACATTAATGCTTTATTAGCATGCTTAAAAGCATGCTAATATAGGCGATCAACTGGACCTTCAGCGAAGTAAACCTTATGTGTTGTGACGTCACTTTCCAGGGCTGAATATAAAGGAGGTCTCATTACATTGCATAGACTCAGCAGCCCGAGTAGATGCCAATGCAGGCGTTAATTTACTTTATCTAATTTTACTGTAGGCAAAATATGTGACAAACCGCTACTCCATGACGACAAGACTTTTCCAGATTCCAGATTTTCTGGCAGTGGTGATTCAAATGATAATTATGAACGTGCGAGGATTACTAAAGGTGGCTGGTGTCCTCGGGGTTCTGGTACTAGATATCTTATGCTTGATCTTCAGAAACAATATCACATAACACAAGTTGTAGTTATGGCTGATAGCTCACAAGCAAGGTGGAGCAGCTCATATTCGTTAAAATACAGTCATGATAAAACATTGGTGGATGGTAGCAGTGCAATACCGGTAATGTAAAACATAGTGAGCATTCTTTCCTAGAAAGAATGTAGGTAAGAACCTTAACCTTTTTAACTCCAGACGAAGGGCCTTCGCTTAGTCTCCCTCGCAGCCGCTCTTTGTGTCGAGGTTTCTCTCCACGAGCGGCTGCTCACTCGAGTACAACACAGTGAGTACAACATTCCATTCCCTTTGTCTTACGTTAGCCAATCAGATTTAGCGACATGAATATCTAAATAAATTTAGTGACATAAATATCAATCTCGTACCCAGAGTAATGCCTGTGCGCGGGCTAGGAAGGCATATTGGCTCTGGGGAAATTGACAACCGGAACCCCTAAATTTAGGGGTTCCGGTTCTTTGTCGGCATGCACGATTGATAAACGTTAAACCAATCGCAGCACAGGAAAAATTCAATTTCCCCAGAGCCAATGCCATCCTAGCCCGCGCACAGGCATTGCTCTGGGTACGAGATTGCATAAATATCTTAAAAGGAATGTTGTGCTCGAGGAAGCAGCCGCTCGTGGGGAGAAACCTCGACACAAAGAGCGGCTGCGAGGGAGACTAGCCTTCGCTCGAAACGTCGAAATTCTCCTTATATTTTTTCAGTTCCATCCCTACCCACGAAATCGTGTTATATTTAACTGTACATGTTAATTCAGCCATATTGTTATTTTAGTCATTCCACTATATATACTTGCCTGTACTATGTTTCAGATAAAAGGAAACAAGTATCGCTTCAAAGCATCGACAACAAGCCTTACTATCTATAATGTGAGGTATATGAAAATTGAATCCACTGAATACCAAAACTTTTGTCTTCGAATAGAACTGTGTGGAGAGGGTAAGGCATGAGAAGTGCTATTAGTTGTAAAAATTAGGATTTTTCTCATTCGCTTCATTAATATAAGTTACGATTAGTGTTAGATAATGATTAGTGTTACTGAGACAGTTGGAAATTTATAATTGCTGCATAGTTTGTAAAGATATGATGGTCTGGAATCCTGGCAAACTTCAAAGCCACGAAATAGAAGGCCTTTATTTGATGTTGAACTGTACCTCTCCATGCACAAATCCTTTTTCCCAACTTCATTAAATATTATTCATCCTGGTTGCACGTTTTACCTCAGCTATCCCTATTGGTCAACATGGGCAGCCCCCCAGTTTGTTGGGCAGTCGGGCAATATTCGCTGAACAGTCGGACAATTTTGGTTTATTAAAAAAATAAATGGGACAAATTCTGTCAAAATTTGTGATCAATTTTGTGATGTTTCCAAAATTTTTGTTAGGTTCCGAAAAATTTAGGTATGTCCGGAAAAAATTTTTGACCCTTAAAACGGTACACTGACCGAAATTTTTTTGGCGACGGGGGGGGGGTGTCGCATTATAAATTCCCGAAAAAATTTTTTGGTACTTGTCGGGGGAAAACCGGAAAAGTCGGGCAAATTTCTTTCCGCCCCCCCCCCCAATTTTTCTTTCCGGTACGCCCATGTTGGTCGATTACTTCATTATACGAAACTACAATGAGCTCAATCACCGTGACCGTGCTCAAATTAACATAAACTCAGACAAAAACATCAAACAATGACATGACGTCATGACGTTATGATCAAAGTGTACCTGTGTACTTGATCATGTTTCAAGTATCACCATATGACTATGCAATGCAAATCTCCATGAACTTTAAAGACACACTGAGTTCAGCCTTTTTAATGATGCTTTTTAAGGCTCATTTCAGCCTTTTTAATACATCCTTTCGATAATTACGTCACAACTACACTGTTTTCAGCTTAGGATCACCTTAAATGATAAGGATTTCAAGTTCTATGCACAGAGAAGCAGAACATCCTCCTTCAACACTTGCGCGAAAAATAATTCTTTATTTTGACCAATAAATGTGGAAATAAGCTTTAACACGAAATTGTGCAGTGGATCAGGGAAATCATGGGGAGTTTCACGACGTGAGGGGAATTTAGGCGATTCAGTGCGACTCATGCAGGTGACGTAACGAAAGCGGTCGGTTTATTGGTCCGGTAGAGTGGACTTTAATACTAAAACCATGGCTAAATCAATTGTTTGCTAATCTTTGCATTGTTTTTATTTTAGTCCAAACGCTAGCTCCTGTAAAGAATCTCAATGTTTCACCATCGGATTACTCTGCACGTGTGACCTGGGAAATACCTACAGCACCTCAGGACTCCAGCTATATAACACATTATTTAATTTTTCTCAACAACAAATTTGTGAAGGAGATATCTCGAGCAATGTATGGAACAGAATTCAATATTCTTCCACTTAAACCGAACACTGAGAATACTTTTGGAATACAGACCAAAGCGGATGGTTCTGTCCAGAGAGGCACTTACGTCACTAAAACCTTTACAACTAAACAAGCAGGTAAAGAAAGAAGATACTATGAAACCTCTATTTGACCCAGCCCTCTCAAATAAGCCCTTAGGTAGATATGATAGGTAGATAGGTTTATTGACTAAAATTACATCGTGGGCAGACAATTTAAAGGTTGAATTACGTATTAATTATAACAAGTAAGTTACTACAATATTATACAATATACAATATTAGGATTAAAATTGTCATTAATTTTATATTCTAAAATAATTACACATTATTGCATGAATTTACAAATTTAAAAAATATTACAATTAAAGTATCTTACATTTAGAAAAGTCATTAGTCAGTGGCCTAACGCTCATTGAGTAGGGTTAGTTCAAAAACTAAGGGCCCCCGACAGTTAGGGATCCCCATCAGCCATGCACAGCCTATCGCCCAGAAAATTAGAAAACGTAAAAATGCAAGTTAATTTAATAAGAATCAATGGGAAAATGTAAAATTAGTAATGCTAAAATTTTACAGTAATAAAGCTTCCATCGACAACGGTATCTGATTTTTTTATTCCATCTCAAATAAAACAAAAGTTATTCTTATTTGTTTTCGTTATTGTTATCGTTATCGTTATTGTTATAGACACGGAAATTTCCAGAACATTCTATGAATATTCATTATTCAATATAAAATGATAATATCTCAGTCAAACGATGACAACAGTCAACAAAGACCTCTACATCAAATATGCCTAAGGGCCCCCTCTTCCCCCATTACGCCACTGGTCATTAGATCTAATAAGTCTATCATTAAATTAAGTTAAATCTACAAATTTACACACAGTTGAAAGGTTAAAAAGTTCAATACAGGAAAGCTAACGATATAGCCTACACATGCTCTGAAGAAGTGTTTTGTGATATCTATCTGTAAATGCCTAAAATTGTAAGTTTCTTCATACCTGGAAGGTAACAAATGGAGAGGTTTATGTGATGGATCGTTGATGATGTTATATATTGAAAAGCCTCTTGTTAATATCTGTAAAAATGGTAGACATGTAGATGTATTTTCATTTCGTATTAAGTTTGACTCATTCATTTAAGATATTGAGGAAAGATGAAAAACCACGCGTATAAAGTATGAATAAAACTTTTGATGGAACTTTGGAACGTTTACATTGCACCAAAAAGTATAACTGCTTAGCTGCTTCGTGACCACGTCATTGATTTGTGCCTTTAACAGGAAATATAAAATACATGCCATTTTCTCCAGCTAATTCTATTCTTTCCAACGGTTTGTATCGATAACGCCCCTCTTTAGAGAAAATTTTGCCTCCTCCCCTACACTCCACATCCTATGAATGACTAGATTCACTAAATGGCCATGATTTCACGTTATATTTATACTTCATGTCATACTTATATTTTTAGAACCTTTCACTCTTGTTCCAATATCTTATACAAGTCTAAAGGTAACCGTACCCACATCACCGACGTATATAAAGTAAGTTTACTTGATAATTATAATCAGCGAGTCTGACGTTTATGGATTGGTGACCTTTTTCATATATGTAGCCTATAAAAAACTGGATGTTTGAAACATTGTTAGGCTTTAAGGAGCAATTTCTAGTTAAAAAATAAATTAGGATTAATAAGACGCAACATATATAACCTAAAGGGAAACGATAAACAGAAAAAGGGATGAAAAGATGTACAATTATAGTATTGTTCTGTTTTATCAACTTGTAAATAATTTTATCTATTTAAGAAGAAATAAAGAAAGTGGGGTGGGAAGTGGTATCCACACGGCCACACTTCGCCCACTGTGAAGCACACACCGGAAAAAGAGAGCAAGGTCCATAACGGCCTTTACCCTAGTCCTGATCTTCGCATCTCTCGGTCACTTCACCAAGGGGAAGGCTAGGACACGATATGTCCATAACGATGAGGGCCCTTTCTCTCACCCTGATGTTGTTTCTCCAGCTTTTCTGGGGCCTTTACTGTGCCTCCAAGAAACCGCACTTCTCGTCATCAATTTGACCAAAGGTGGGATACCAGACTCAAAGTCTGTATGGTATCGCCAATCGCTTCTACCAATCTACCATTACATTTAACGCATTCGCTTCTTCAATTATTCAACTACTCTACAGACTGGAGCAACATTGTTAAGACGTTCGATAAACCTCGAGGTAATGATTTTCATTTACAATGCAGGACCCAGTTTTCAATAAATTTAATAACAGTTTCCGCTATCACAAGTGCCGATTGTATATCAACCATTCGTTTATGCACTGGATATGCTAAAAATAGAAAACAACAAAGTTGAAGTCAACAGTTGAAACTACAATATCTGAGTACATAATGGTACACTCATACAGTCTACATGACATTGAATTACCTAACAAAGCTGTACAGTGCATTAAGGTGCAGAAGAGAGCAGAATAACAGTACCAACAGTTCATTACGTAATATATGAATTATGAATGAGTTTGAGAAAGAATTGTATATAGTACACAGCCACAGTCAAGGTGTATGGTGTATCATGCAATACAAAACAATGGAGTAAAGTATATTATGTTGTAGTATGGTACAGTACAAAACAACAAACTGAACACAGTGCAGAACACTCATAGTATATACACATGTATAAGAGGTTGCATATATTGCATGAGCTGTTTCAAAACTATGCTTCACAGGCTAGCATGATACAATGAATTCTAATTTTACGTCTTTTATTCAATTATTGCTTAATTGGAACTATTACTCTTCTAAATTAGATTCTACTTTCGCTATGTCCTCTTTATAGTTTTGTCCCTTCCGTATTGTTGTGTTATTTTTGTCAGGTTGGTCTTCACATGGAACTCGTGTTTTGTTGGCCACATTCTCAACCATACTTTAAGCATTTTGTATTCTTATATGGTTGCAGTAAAGAAAGAAATAAATAACCATTAAAATTCTGTATAAAAGTTGTACATTTTAAAACTGACTTGCATCAAATTTTGAATTTTAAACTATGTTAGGGATAATATATGCCATGTTTGTTTTTTCTGTAGCTCCAGACATTTTAAATATCATATCTACCGGGCTTAAAATGTACACCATCTCTTGGTCTATACCATCTTTACCTGACCAGCAAACCATCCGCAGGTACTATGCAAACTACAGTGCATCAAATGAGTCCACTGAAATGCTGAGTATACCAAAAGAAATGACATATGTCGCTGTCGCTGTTGACTTCGATAAACGGTATACGTTTGAAATACAAATTGAGACAGAGGCTGGAAGAAGTAATACAACGTCAGAAACATGGCCATCTCATTCAGGTATGCCATGTCAATGTTACATTCTTATGACTTACATTCACCTCAGGCAAGCCATATATAAATTATATATCATTCTCATTCATTTAGCGCCATTGGAACCCGTGAATAAAACAGCTGACGGTTACACAGTAGTACTGAGAAAACCAAGAAAAGAGCAAAATATTAAGTAGGTTTATATGTATGGTGCTTTGCACTCTGAAATAGTTTCCCCTATCTATATAATTGTATGATCGTGGAGTTGTGGCCGCCTTAATCTTTTGTTTTAATAATGGTATTGTTCTAGTAACGGAATAAAGTTATTACATATTGCCTTTCATCTTATCCTTCATAAATGGATATAAAGGTGGATCAGTCTCATGAGCCATACTAAACTAACTTAAACATGGTTAAACTAACAGGATATTTCTATCAATTCTAAACAGCTGTCTCTATATAAAGGTCAAGTAACTGCCAGTCCTCATTGATGGAGTGTTACTGCAGAGGCGACCAGAGTATCTGGATAAATGGTGCTTTTTTCGATAGAACTTGATAGCAGGATCTAACTCGTAACTATGTACCTGAAAACATAGAGTCAGTAGGTTATTAACGTTGAGACAAAGGTGGTTTGATCAATTCGCCGAAAGATATATTCTTTACAGTTACTGTGCCACCAACGGTGTACTCTGCTACTGCTATACACTCCAGTCTTATGGATTAAAACTCTTCTTTTCTTAGGACTGTTGCTTTAGTATTACTAAAATCAAAGTCAGCTAACCCACCTGCACCAGAGGATGTCACGCTAGAAGATTCACCTCCCGCTGAGACGTTAGATAATGTCGCCTTTATTGCCAGACAGTTTAATATAATCGAGTTCCAAGGTTATACTATAGAAATATCCCTGCGAGAGTCCAAAGGTAACCGACGGAGGAAAAGAGAAGTTACCGTGCTTGATATATTGTCATCGAGTGCAACGTATAGAACGACGCAATTGAATACAGACGAGTCAGGGGTATGTAAAACGTTGCTGAAAGTGATTTTAAGGATTTGAAGGCATGTCACGTTTGTTCTCGTCTTAGGCTTCGTTTTGGGTAGGTAATACGCAACATATCACAAGGTATACTAGCTCAGAAACATCTCACTCAAAGAAGATAAACCTTACTCCATTGTTATGTCATGGATAAGGACAACACTTTCTTTCAGCTTAATTAAGTCTGCTCTATACTATATTTACGAGGCTCAAGAATGCCTCTCTTTACGTAGAACAAAGATTCTCAGAACTTGTTTTAATACTGTATATTTTTTGTCTTCTTTTTAATCTAGTCATAATTTGATTAGTTTTTAATCTACTATGTTATTGTGTCTTTTTCATTGAGTAAATCTTTAAATTATCTAGACATAAAACACCAGGTATCACCTCAATATTTATACTAGTGACGTTCAATAATTAACATGCTTCATTATACAAAATAATTAAATTCCCAGGAAATAAATTGAGTTGAGGTGAATAGACTATTCATTCTTTTTTTAAAATTGTATTTGGGCATACTGGAGTGAACCGTTCACAGGTAATGAGAAGTTATGGATAGTATACGTTCTTTCCGACGACAGTATACCGTTTATAACGTAATTTTGTGCCGTCAACTTCTATCCTGTTTAAAAAAGAACTATTTTAACAATAAGTACTACGTAAAAAAAAAACTTTACCCGTCCGCCTGTATATAGTTTACGAATCGGAATTTCACATTCGGAACATTTTGAAAACATTACTACTGTAAGTAATTTAAGAGCAGTAGAAAGTCAGATACAGATCAAATGCGAATGTTTTTTGTTTATGCTTACTTAAAATAACACCTACAGTAAGTAACCAAGTTTGCCAACTATTTTGACGATATGCTTCGCTATAGTCGAGGAAATCGAAGCTAACGCTTATGTAAATCAGAACAAAATCTGTATCTGGTTTAAAGATATTGATTAAATATTCATTTCTTTGGATTTCTTCATTTGAAGATTCTTCATGCATTATTAATAATTTAAACATGTTTATAGCTGGCGGTGATAATAGTGGTGATACAGACAAGCGTGATGATGATGGTGGTGGTGGAAGTATTGGTGTTGCTGTGGGTGCCTCATTTGCTGTCGTTGTCATCATCGTTGCCTTGGTTCTCGCTTTTATTTTTTTTAGAAGAAGGTAATAGTCTGATGTTCCATTCCAAACGTTTGCATGGTAAACGTAGAGTATTTAATTCTTTGTTTTGAAATCACTGGAGCAACAACACTGAAGCGAACAACATTGACACAAAATGTTTGATTTGGAACAGGTTTAGCATACAATTTTTCCAGACATATTTTGCCACTATGGGTGTAAGTAAATATTGTAATCCCCGAACAAATCGCATTCACGACCCAAAGTTTCGACAGTTTAGTGTGGTGTCTTTATCAGGTATTATCTGAAGTCACAACGTGGGCCATTCTTATATGCTCGAGGAATGACGTTACCACCCAACAATGAGAAAGGTAGCTATACTACTGTAATGCATCCCCTTCAAAGCTTGATTATATTTATGTGTAGCGCTGTCAAACAACGCCTTCGACCAGGGTGCAAACTTGAGATCATCCCTGATGAAAACAAAGGACTGGAATAACGAAATGTTGGGTCGAGAATGTAATTTGTTGGCGGATAATATTCATTCCCTTTAACTATAGAAAATGAAGGAAAATAAAAAATACTAAGAAGATTCGTTACATGAAATATACCTATTTAAAATCAAAATCAATTTCGATAGAACAAATCGTTATCTCCTGAAGTAACTGGATCATCAGTAAGCGATTAGCCATGCTAGCCATTAAATTTATTTTACATATAGTCCTGTTGCAGTAACACTGGCCAAAGGGGATGGATTGCAGGAACTCTAGGGAAACAGTTTAGAACTAGTAGAGCTATCCAGTATAAAAGAAGTTTGTTTAGTGGACTCATATTTTTAAGGAGAACGCACAAACGGTATGAAGACAAAGAAATCGTTTCCAAGGGGAAGTATGATGATGAGATGAAAGAAATTGATCACTGCTATGAAGAACCAAATACGGCCAGGTCGGACGATCCCATTCTCAATGAAACTAATGAAACTAATGAAGGCATTTATTCAAATGAAGCTGGTATGATATCCAAATGAATAATATCTGACCCCAATAACTTACTAAGCGACAACGTAATAACTATTAAATCAACCACTTATGCAGTCACTTAATAGTTCAAAACTATGAATCTGCAATTTGTAACTGGCTTCTAAATGAAATTATTGACATCGGGCAATTTCAAATGTAAATGTCATTTAGATGTTACTAAATTAATTTTTTAAAATTATAATTTAAGACGACGACCAAGGGAAAGCGCATCCACCTGTTCCTGTCGCTGAATTTGCGCATTATGTGAACGAACTGAAAGCAAATGAGAAGCACGAATTCCAGAAGCAATATGATGTAAGTAACAACACAAACAAATTGAATGAATGCAAACGCATTATAAGTCAGAGACGTTGCCTAGAAGTGTGGCATTGAGACATGAATCGTTACGCTACGGTTGCAATCACTCACAAGTTCTCCTCCTTATGCCTCTGCTATTGATCTCGCGAGCAAAAAGAATCCACGTCGAAATTTTAGATCCCTTCTAATGTCTACGATGAAATAAATCACTATACTGGAGTGTCGAGACATCTGGATACGTGAATGTAATCCAGGCCTGTGAAAATATGCATGATTCTTTTTGCTGCCTGGCGTCGTAAACTAAAAAGCTTCGCTTTAATTTCTGTATTCTTATTTCTGTTTTTCTGTTTAGGATTTACCTAAAAACACGAAAACGTCTTGGGAAGTGGCCAAGAAGCCGTTCAATAAGAAGAAAAACAGATATGGAAATATCGTAACATGTACAGTTTTTAAAGCACTTTCACATACTTCACTTTGTTCATTGTAATGATTGTCCATTGAGTATCGTATATAATGTATCTTAATTAAATAAAAGTGTTATTATCTATTACATTACAGATGACCATTGTCGTGTTGTTCTCTCAGGAGATGAAAATGAGGATTACATCAACGCTAGCTACATAGACGTAAGTTCTTTCACAGTCCACTTAATCTTACAGATTAATTATTTGAATCGGTTTTCCATTTCGCATGCTGTTTTCCACGAATGGATTTTCTTGGAGAGCACCATCAATATTTTCAACACAATTCACCCGAATGTCTAAGGCGATGGTTTTTCTTGTTGTCCAAAGTAATGATTATATTGTGATGAAGAAATAGAAGCAACAAAAATGTTAAAAATGCGTAGATGTTTCTCATTTCCTGAACGGTTAATTATTAAGAACAAACTATAAGAGTAATGGCTGGAGCTAAAGTCCCAATTAAAGCCTAATGTAAAAGTCATCCCTGCAGGACTGGTGACGACTGGTTTTAAAGTTAGCTTAAGATGTAAATTCTAACAAAAATCATTCTGTATTTAGGGAATCAAGGAAAATTCATACATTGCTAGCCAAGGTGAGAGGTTTACCAGAAGACTGCACGCAATTGTTTAAACGAGAACTAAAGAATCTGATTCTATTTTTTGCCCATATTTTAGGTCCTAATAAACTAACTGTGAATGATATGTGGAGAATGGTTTGGGAACAACGGAGTTATTCTATTGTGATGGTGACCTCCCTCGTTGAACTTGAAAAGGTCAGTAGGTCATCATCATCACCATCATTGTTATTATCATCATTATTTCACCAATGCTTATCACCATCATCATCATTACCATCATCATCATGACCATCACCATGCTTATCATCATCATTACCACTAAGCTTATTAGTTATTATCATCATCGTCACCATGCTTATCATAATCATTACCATCTCTATCATTAACACGCTTATTATCATCGCATCATCATCTTCCATGTCCAATTATTCTATTGATCTCGACCAGAACCTCCTAAAAATTCCATCCAGTGTTCATGATTTTTTGTCATATTCTCCTTTGGAATAGTATTATCTTCTACAATTTGGTATTGTAGTCTTTTCAAGCAATAACTTCTTCACGACTTCTGTTACATCGTCCACCAAACTTTCTTTCACAAATACTGTAAATGCAAATGTAAAATTATCTTATTGGTATGTTGGTTCCAGCCTAAATGTGAGAAATATTGGCCTGACAAAGGAAGCGTAAAGTATGGAGATATTGAAGTAACTTTGATGAAAACTGAAGAGTTTGCTTATCATGTCACACACACCTTGCAACTTAATAAGGTAATCAACTTTTGCAGTTTACGTATACTGATTATGATTCCCTCTCTAACGGCTGTGAGAAACGTCCTTCCATTTTACTTTACCAAGCATTACAGGTTCTTTCCCATAAAGAGTCCCCGACTTGTACGAGTTTCTCCTGTAGAATTAACAACTAGACCAATTAAAAACGCTCCTCACTTGACCTCTAGCGAGAACAGTTGACAGTAGAATTGGGAAAAATGAAGATGTTTGGGATACTGTAAATAAAGCACTGGATGAATAAGGAACGCTCCTGCGAAGAACAAGTTTTACACTATACAACGTGTGAATAAACTATAGTGGATAAGACAAATTCAAATACACTTGGAACATGTCTACTATAAATACAGTTAATCATTTCCGCATTCTTAATTGTGCATAGGTTATTGCTATCTATATAACAGTTTAGTATGTTTAGTTTTCTCTCTTTAAGATATAAGTGGCAATTTTTTTATTTGGCGACCAGGTATTCGCCAAAGGTAGCCCTCGTGGGGACGGAGGACATTTGAACGTGATAAAGTAATTCTAAAGCCTTAAAACATCTCAGTATCTCAAGTATTTCATTTTACTTTTTCATATAGTTTTCCAACATATTAAACCACTGTTTATATTTTGTATAACACATTGATATTTCTGTAGGGCGATCTGGTATTTAATTTCGCTACCAGATCTTATCACTGGTAGCCAGTTAGGTGATTGGAATTCTTAAAATTTTAACCATTGCGAGCGATGTTTTTTGCTGGACCTCTAGGTGGATAAGTATAATTGTAGACCTGTTCCAAAAAAATTCTTCACACAATCTAGGACGGAGAAGAACGTGAAGTGCGACATTACTACTTTCAATCTTGGCCTGATCACGGTGTCCCTAAATATCCCACTCAACTCCTGGCTTTCAGAAGACATTTCAGAACACATCATGTGGAACAGTCTGGACCAATCGTTGTGCACTGCAGGTTAGATTCTTAATCTCGTTAAAAACGTGTCACCATTAATTTGTAAAATAATACCTATGACATAGGTCACTGTAAATTGGAATGATTGAAATCAATAACCGTTCGAAAATAAAAATTCCCCTCAAAGAAAATTTTATTCTTTTACGTTTCCAGTGCTGGTGTTGGCAGAACTGGCGTCTTCCTCGCTGTAGATACGATCCTTGATAAACTTGAGAAAGGTGTCATCAATTCTATCGATGTTTTTGGACAAGTGTGTGCAATGAGAGAGCGACGAATGAATATGATTCAAACTTTGGTATGAATAGTAAAAATTTACTATTGTCCTTGACCATACAGGGCAAATTATGAATCCTACATTGTTGGGGAAACATTGTTTCCTAACCATGCTTCTGAAAAATTGAAAAACTAGAAAACACTGTTCCCCTTCCATGTTGAGGAAACCAGAAAACAGTGTTTCCTAGCTATGTTTCCCGAAACTGGGCAAAGCAGAAAACATTGCTTCCTAGCCATATTTCGCCGAAAATGGGCGAACCAGGAAACAAAGATGACATTAGAAAATATTCCTACCTCCTGTAAAGCAGTTCTCTTTCCAGAGAAGCAAATGAACTTTGTTTCCGCAACAAAAAATGTTTGGATGGGAGGTAAACGGAGAAAACATTTGAAAAACGGGAAAATGTTTCCTTAATTTTTTGTTCAGGTCTTTATTTAAATTGTCTTTATTAACTTTTATAAGTTGTACATTATATTTTTTAGGAGCAATACATATTCGTCCACGAAGCCATTTTAGAAACCATCTTATGTGGCATGAATGAAGTAAATTCTAGTAAAATCCAGAAAGAGATTGAAAAGCTCGCCGAAGTCATTAAGGCCAGTGGAATGACTGGATTTCAAGAGAAGTTCAAGGTTCGCATTCATATATCACCTTTTCTGCCTTAAGCTTGTATATAATTAACAACCTATTAACAGACAAACATGAAGGCTTTTGTCATTTTAGAGGTTGGGTGAGGTTTCACCGAAATATTCTCCTGATGAATGCATTGCAGGATTACGGAAAGGAAATCTCAAAAAGAATCGCAATAAAATTGTCTACCCAGGTATTTTGAAGATTCACCTAAATCCGCTAATTATTTCACCATGTATACTGCCGCATATTGGAGGCCTGCTGTAGCTACTGTAATATATTCATGTTAATATGCACTATAATTATATATGCTGATTAGCATAATAATTATAGTATATTACAGCTACTTTTGACCAGAATATACAACTCTTTCATCTTAAATTGGAAAATTTCTTTTGGAGCATAACAAGTTTATATCGTTCGTTCTATTTTAGCCGAGAGCAATCGCGTTCCTCTTCAATACGTGCATGGCGTGGAAGATTCAGATTATATCAACGCTGTGTTTGTTCATGTATGTATACAGTGTATATTATTAAGTTGAATTAAAAAAAAATATTTAATTTAATAAATTAATGCAAAGCCCAACCGAATTGCATGTTTAAGACGAATAATGGGTAATTGAATAACCATATTCGCTTCTACTGGCAGCTATTTCTGCCTTATCAATAGGAATCAACCTTGTATGTCAAGTTCATTACATTTCTGAGCTCATTATTTTATTTTCACAGTCGATCAATTAAATTGTTTAATATTATTCACACCAACTCCTGTAGTGAAGAATTAGTTAAATCTTCCTATTTTTCATTCCAGGGCTACCTTGGAAGAAACTACTTCATCGCCACACAAAGTCCTCTGCGAAATACAATCAGCGACTTTTGGCGAATGGTTCGTTCGCAGAAATCATCCACAATTGTCTTGTTGAATAGTATCAAAGATGGAACGGTATACTGTAGATAAAATTCTATATATCAGGTTGATTTTTACGTTGGTTGTGGTATGTCGAACCATCCATCCAAACCAAAACATAAATTATCATTATTAAATTATCAATATCCATTTGCAAGAAATTAGATATTTTCTATTGTTAATATTTATGCCGATGTTTTTTTGTACACTTTAGTCGTTCCCGATATTCTGGCCGACAACCAGAGGACAACCAAACCAATACGACAGCTTGACAGTACAATTGGACTCAGAAACAGAATCTGAAGGAATATGGACCAGAAAGTTTATCTTATCGTCTTATCCCGTACGAATATGATCAGTAATATTAATTAAAACAAAATTTTGTAGTTTGGATCAGAACTGTTTAAAACAGAAGTTGTTTAAAATGTATCTATTCAATTCGAAATTTTGAAATAGCAACCAAAAACGCAGCATCGTACTACACACTGACTTTCAAAATAAAACTTGCGTGAACCCAACCTCGTTCCCAGGCTCTTCCCTCTTGTACCTCAAGAAGAGGGAAGAGCCTGGGAACGAGGTTGGCGTGAACCCACTTGTGACGTAACATCCATATCCACAATAATCCAAGATGGTGGACAGCTCGCTAGTTTCATTCAAAATATTTCAAGAATCATCTGAGATCGTGTGAAAAGTTTTTTTTAGTTATTTTAGTCAAATAAGATTAACAAAAATTTCATTGCCAATGTCCTTTGTCCTAAACTATTCTTTATTTCTGACCGAAACAACAAGATTGTAAAATATAAGTCCTCTTGAGATAATCCTTTCATAATATTAACCAAGTTAATTAAAGTGCATATGACATGAAATTTTTTATGTTCTTAAATGAAAGAACTCTTTAAGCTGTAATGTAACTTATTTTTCAGTTTCTTGTTTTCATGGTTTGTTCCCGAGATATTTCAATTTGTTTGGTATGTAAATGAGTGTGAATATGTCCGCTAATTTATGACGTCACGTTGGTTGCAAGCTCAACTTACGCTGGTTATAAATCTATTAACTCTAAAAACTGTAGATATCAGTTCACGTTTTTCTCCAGCCATTTTATCACATTTACCCGTGAGTGAAGTTAGAAATTATTGTCTTGGATGATAGCCGTGATATTCAACCATTTTGAAGAGCTTGCAACCAACAAGACGTCATAAATTAGCGGACATATTCACATCATTTACATACCAAACAAATTGAAATATCTCGGGAACAAACCATAAAAACACGAAACTGAAAAATAAGTTGTACTACAGCTTAAAGAGTTCTTTCATTTAAGAAAATAAAAGAATTCATGTCACATGCACTTTAGTAAAGGTAATATACGTCCTCTAAAACCAACCACAACCTCCACAATAAAACTGAGCCTAACAGTAATTAGCTAACTAATTTAAATTTAGGACTTGTCTGATGGTCAAGTTGTTAATATTTTCCATTACACGAAATGGCCGGACCATCGTGTACCACCCAATGCAGATTGTGTCATCCGCCTGACATCATTGGCCGAGAATTCAAGGAAAAATTATGGTCAAGGACCAATCGTTGTCGTATGCAGGTAACATTAATATCGTCCGTCGCCTCATTCTTTCTTTTGTTCTTCATCCATTTTTGTGCTTGCTCGTCAGCAAAATAAACAGATAGGCAGTGTTGAACTTGAGAACACTTGGACTAACTTGAGAACACTTCGAACCTAATTAGTGTACCATTTTGTAGAACAAAATTACGACAATTTTCTGTAGTATTTTTTAACTCCTTGGACCATGTCTGTCTATTCTTTCCAATCGAATCTTAAAAAGCATTTAATTTTTGATAATCTGTCCGATGATTGTAACTAATAAATAGTATCTAATTTACATCTAGGTGTGTGGATCTAAGTATCTTCGTTTTGATATTATGTGTGTGTCCTTCCTTGTATTATATTAGTTTCCTTATTATATGTCTGCTCACTATTCTACCTCATATATATTTAGATAACTTATTCTTTAATATTTGACATGAGGTAGTCTATCAATTAATAAGCCTTGGCTTCTAGTTGGACTACCTCGTCACAATTTTTCATTTCTTGTCTCTTCTATTTTTTTATTTTTGTAAATTGTTGTATCAACCAATTGTGGCAAATTAATAAATTCAAATTCAAACAAATAATAGACAGGGTGTCATCTTTTCGATTTGTATTTCAGTGATGGAGCTGGACGTACAGGAACATACATTGCCATTTCAAACCTTCTTGAACGAATGAAAATTGAACAAGCAATGGATGTCTTCCAAGCCATAAAAATCATCAGAGGAACACGACCACAATTTGTTGAAAATGCTGTAAGTACATTTTATAATAACATGGTTTTCATCGAAAGCGAACAGTCCGAGATAGAAACAGCGTTGAAAGGTTTATCCAAAGTATTTGATGTTTTAATACGACTAACCAATCATATTTAATATACTATACAATTTTCGGAATTGATTGACATGACATCACTTTTTCCTAATTCTTTTATCAAATTTCTTAGTTAATGCAGCAATATGCCCATTAGCATTTTTACGACGACATTGGATTTTGGTACATATATGCATGAGGGTGGCAGGGTGCTCATGTGCATACTGGATTTTGGTATATATGTGAGCGTGCTCATGAAATACCAAAATAAGGTATGCTCATAAGCACGCGGTCATATATGTACCAAATAACCAAAATCCACCATGCTTATGAGCACCCTCATATATAGATATACCAAAATCCAGTATCCTCATGAGAAATAAATAAAAGGGAAATCATAACAGAATTTGTTTTGCTTCTTTAGGAACAATATCGGTTCTGTTACGCGGCTATGATGGCGTACTTGGACGGTTTCAGTGACTATGCCAACTTCGAATAACCGAACCAAATTTTTTTGCAAATATGTGGCAAAAACAATTTTCACACGAAGATATTAGTTTGGTTAGATACGTTTAAAGCGAAAATCCGTCTTATGCGGACGATCTTCATACTAAGACTAAGTATAATATTGTTTTAGGAACTATATTTAGTTCATAGTCTTAGATAAGTAGACGCATATACTGTCGGTCATATAGACTCCAAGCAAATGAGTAAAAAACGAGATAAACTTAGGATACAACTGAACTGCATTCATAGCTCAACTGAAAAGAACTCCATCCATAACACTATTTTGAACTTCTTCATGCATTTAGCAATAGAATCTTATGAATGCAAGTAACGAATTTAAATAATTCACAATGGTGAAATAAACAGAATATTACACTGAAATTTTAAGATGTACAATTAAGTAAGCACAACATTTATCAGTGAGTGACTACTTACTGAAAAATACCCAAAGCCCTCAAATAGCGGCAGTTAGAAAAATACACAAAGCCCTCGAGGCAGCGCAGTTCATATGTACACGGACGAAAGGGACGTAGCGAAGCATCTGAAGTTTGGGGGAGGGGATGTCGGAGGATCTTACCTGAAATTTAAACTTCAATGTTATAAATTTACTTGAAGTGTAATAATTATAATAGAGCTTTTTTCTGATTGTTTTAAGGCAAATTAGGCGAAGGAATTGCAACTAAATTGACTGTATTTTACAGAAATGGTTATAATTATCATTTCATAAAAGTAACGACTTTATTACGCAAATTTTACCTGAAAATGTCACAGTTGGAGGGGGGATGGGTTACACCGGGTAACAGTTTCCATATACACTTCAGCATAAAATGTGCCAACTAGTCGCGACTGCAATCAGTGACCAACTGTGATCGGAATGATGTTGTCCATGCGTTTCATCGCCTAATTTGTTTTGGCTGCAGTGGGAACATTTCGAATAACAGATCGTGACGGAATGTCACTATTGTTATGCAAAGGTGTGTATGCAAGCAATGTTTTTGAATAAAGTCGTGAGTTTAATTAACATATAGTTATTTTGTGCTAGATTTAGGTACTGATATGCGGAAGTATAACAAGCAATCCATGATTTAGGCTTTCGTCTTTTGCCTTCGCTGTTCGACTTGACGAAATAAACGGCAGAATGTCGTGGCTCATTCATCGATGGTTAACTTTATTTGGTATATTAGTATTGGTGTTTAAAGGTAAGGTGTTATATAACCTGGCAAAGCTACCGTGAAGTACAAGTAGATTTATTAACCAGTAGATTTATGGCTGCCAACTGAGTGATGACATTGCTTTGATTTCATTGCGTAGCATATAGTTTGTGTGTATATATTGCTAAAGGTGAACTGACATCAATGACAACAAAGTGTTTGTACTTTTGTCATTGAACATAATTGATTTGATGTGGTTACATTATCGCAGGTGCGGCCAGTGCGATGATAGATTTTTGTCATATGCAAAGAGTGGCCGAATAAGGCTCGGCCTCAGTTACACTGACATACAGGGTGTATAAAAAAAAACGCAACCTCGGAATTTCCTAAGAAATCACTTTGCAATTCTTAAGCATAAAAGATTTTAGGCCCCTGGGAATTGAAATCGAATTGCTAATAGATCATATTACTGTTGTTGTGCATTAAATAAATGCATAAATTTTGCTTTATGCACTCGCGTGTGCAGTAATTTTGACTAGTTGTGCTATTTTAAATTCCCAGGCGCCTAAAATCTTTTGTCTTTAAAACAATGTCGATTTCTTGGGAAATTCCGAGGTTGCGGTTTTTTTGATACACCCTGTACAGGGTGTCTCAAAAAAAACCAAAATCATTTAAATTGACGTATTGTTCGATATTCAATGCCCTAGCACTAAGTTAATCCCACGAGTGCATAAAAGATTGACATAACTGCTATAATGAATGGTAATACTCGGCGTAAACTTGTTATGTCAGGCATAAAGTACTAAACCCACGAATGCATATTACGCATATTACAATTTACGAAGCATTTTTAAATTCCCATGAGCAAACAAACGTTCACTTTACAAAGATATTTTAATTTTTTAAAACAAATTAATCATCCTGTCAAAATCCTTTGTGTTACGGCATTGAAATTCGAACAATACGTTATTTCAATGATTTTGGGTTTTTTTGAGACACCCTGTAGACTGTTCTAATGACGTTAATTATAGCCACTTAACCCTATAAGAACAAACAAGACGCCTGCTCAGGCGTTCACACTGGCCTCGGTTGGCAAAATACACAAAATGTGGTTTTGGGCTCAATTCCCTAAGGGGCCGATTACATGGAGAACTTTCAACCCCGCGGTTGAACTCAACCCTGTTAACCGGGTTGAGATTTTTTGCGATTACATGGACGATTTCAACCCCGGGGTTGAAACGCTATATATACTATACGTTCTCGGCATCGATTCCCGGAAGTAAAAAAGCCTTTATTTTGTTTTCTTGTAATAAATAGTCACTACCACGTAGGCTCGAATAAGTCATGATAATTTCAGCCCTGGGTCGAAACGATCACATGACAAAATTTTCAACCCAGGGCTGAGTTCAACCCCGGGGTTGAAATTTCAACCCTGCTAGCTGAAGCAGGGTTGAAATTTCAACCCCAGGGTTGAACTCAGCCCTGGGTTGAAAATTTTGTCATGTAATCGCGCGTTTGATTTTGATAGAGTTTTGTATTACAGACAGGACTGAAATTTCAACCCGGTAAACAGGGCTGAGTTCAACCCCGGGGTTGAAAATGCTCCATGTAATCGGCCCCTTATTGATCTAATTTTTTTAGTTCCTTTTGTAAATTTCTACATATTTTTCATGTCCAAAGAACTTTAGTTTGCATGGAAATTGCATGCCTTCTCCATCACCCAAGTTAAAAAGATACTGACTATAAAGAACTTTAGTTATAGGAATGCACAATTAAACCTTTTGTAATTTTGATGAACAGTATAATACAACTTTTATACCTTATTAATTATTAACATAATAAACGAAATCTGACACCAAGCCCAGTTAATTCGAACCCCCGCTAACTCGAACAATTTTTCGTTCCCCTTGGGAGTTCGAGTTAGCGGGGTTCTACTGTATATGTATAAAAGTGGTTCAGAGATACCAAAAGTTATGGTAGTGAGTATCCAGAACTGGGATACCAGATTCTTAGAAAAGTCACTTTCTGGAAATGCAAAAAATTGTATCCTGGTAGAGTTGTGTATTATTCAAATAGGACTTTAATAAATTCATTAGGCCTAACAAATATAGCGTTTGGTTCCAGTTGTCTGATTTTTTTGCTGACTGGAGATGTGGTTGTGGCCCTATTTTTCAACATTTTTGCTTGACCCATTGGCAAGGGGCTATCAAATTTTCCCTATTAATTAATACAAATACAGTAATCTAGGTGTACAGGGGAAGGAAGAAATGTGAAAAAAATATTAAATTTATTGGGAGTGTTGATTTTTTGTGCAAGACACTCAAGAAATTGTGGTTTAAGACTGGATGAGTGGATGCAACTGGACCCATGCAATTGGACATTTTTGGCTGTGTTGTTAAACACTCGAAAGGTAATTGTGTCTGTCAGAATCGCATTGTTTAGAAAGCATTAAAATGTTAAAGAATATAAGTCATATATTTGTGAAATGGGCTTAAAAGTTTAAAAAAAAAACACTTCTGACTTCACAGTAATTCATAATTTGGGGGGAGGGGATTATGAGGGATTATCCTTTTTAGTGGGTTATATTTAAATTGTCCAATTTTTGCTGCCCAAAGACAGAAACTGCTCTCCTCTGCTGCTCAGATGTTTGCTGACGATTGGTCAAGAATGAACGACGCGCAAATTGTTGAAATGTTTTTGCATGGATCATCTTCATTATCATTAGAATCAAACAGAGAGTTATTTTCTCTTGTTCAGCCTTATATAAATGAAACAAAACGTTTTCATTTGCACAATTCTTGACTTCTGTCAGTTCTTTTTCTTTTTATTATATACTTGGCATGTTATTTAAACATTTTGCAATTGTAAGAAGTGAGCCCCCTAGATGAGCGTACGCACTCTTGGGACAAACTTTGTTTGTTTAAACAAATTAAAAATATGTTTAAAGAGATAAGAATTTAATGCACAAGCACTTAAGCGCAGGTGCGTGTGATAAACAGAAGAAAATCTATCATTGGATAAATTATAAATAACATTTGGAACAGGTAAGTCAAAAATGGTAACTAAAGCATTTTTAAAGAAATCGAGTGAAACTAGCAAACGCGTCTCAATATTTATACTATTCCACAGTCTTGCAGCAGACGGGAAAAAGGATCCTTTATAACGTTCAGTGTGACTATTAAAAAGAGAAAAGTCTGAAACCGTTCTTAAAGAATAGTTTGTTCTTTCGTAGACTTGTAAAGGAAGTAATTCTTTAAGATAAGTTGGACTCAAGTTATTTACAATCTTATAATATAAGATAAGCTTATGGATTTTTCTTCTAGTAGACATACTTTCCCATCCCACTTCTTGCATGAGACGATGCTTACTAGTTCCTTTTATTGCCCCGGTTACAATCTTAGCTGCCTCATATTGTACATGCTCAAGTAGATCACAATCACTGGCTATACCGTTGTCCCATAACACGTCCGCATACTCCATAACAGGACGAATAAGTGATTTATATAGCTTGCCTAGAGTGCAGTCTCTACTCACTTTAAATTTCAGGCCTTTTAAATTAACATATTAACTTTTTATTAGTATTTTCAAAAATATTTACAATATGGGCTTTCCAAGAGAGGTTTGCTGTGAGTTTAACATCAAGATGAGTGTGTTGCAAGACTTCACAAATTTTCTCGTTTGCAAAATAAAGATCAGGATGAGGTGGTTTAAGTCTTTTAACTGAAAAAGTCATGCATTTGGTCTTCTTTGTATTTATAGTAGTTTTCTATTTCTATAAGGTCATTATTCAATTTTGTGCATCAGTGCATGTCAAGGTCTTGATTCTTTCAGAATCCACAAAAATTAATGGCTGCTCATTTCTTCTACTATTATTTCGATGTCTGGCATATGTGTTAATGTCAGACAACATTTCCATGAAAAAGTAGAAAAACTGCATTGTGAATATATGACACCTTTGCTTTATTTTAGCACATGTGTACCCTGACACTATATATATTTATATATCAAGCACTTCTAGACTTCCTGCAAAACTGAATACATTGTATGTACACTGTAGCTCATATAACAATCGCACTAGCAATATAATATAAACACGGTTAATTAATACACTACTGTAACTGCACTAATACCTATATTTATTACCCAGTGAATAAAACTTTAAAATTTAACTCAATTTTTATCTCAAAGCGTCTATACATGCAATTTTCGTACTCAACGAACTTTTACTGAATATACAAAATGGTTTAATGGCACTATTATTATTTGCAACCATTTGCAGGTAAATGGTTGTAGCTGTGTTGATAAAACACGAAATTAATTCAACCTCAGCAAGTACAATTGACCGCCTTGAAAAATTAACTCGGTCACGCTTCCATTGTGTAAATAGCATACAATTAAAGTTCTGGAAGTAGTGATAAGCAAGTCATAACGTTTAACATCTCGAACCATATGATTTATATATAACAAATAGTTTAATCCCTAATAAGTACAGCACTGTTTAGATTATATAAATAGGAGCTTTATGATGCGCAAATGGTGCTCACCTGTAGCCGCAATCTGTGTATGGTTTGTAGCTTCCACCCCCGACAACACCGTAAATAATAAAAAAACTAAAAGGTAAACTTGCTTATATTCCTCTGTGAACATCATAAAAGATAAAACAAGTCGTGTGTAGTGTTAGAAACGAATCAAAAGAGTGTTTTCTTAGACGCATTGAAGATCAAATTGCGCTCATGTTTGGTCACATCAATCCACCAATGATCAATCTCATGATCGAGCAAACGAGACAAATAGAGTGGAGCACACAACACCCAACATTACCATTTTTATCCCAAATTATCCCAAAGTGTTCCTTCCGTCTCAGAACCGACCACTGGTGCTGGAACCATAGAGATTATAAATAACACATAAATAATATTTATAATCTCTATGGCTGGAACCGACGCAGAAGGTTGGCAAAAAAGTACAATAGCAATTTATCAGAATTTTTTATACAGCAGGTTAAACGGGTTTTCTTCTGTGTACCCCATAGTTCAATGGTGTACCCTGGTGTACCACGGTCAGCACTATTTTCCATTCCATCGATCTTCTAAAGTTGTTTCTTCTTGGATTTTTTTATTAATTTGCTTATTTGGTTAGGGTTAGAGTTGGGGTTGCGGTTAGGAGTTAGAGTAGGGATAGGTCTAGGGTTTGGGTTAGTTACATAGCCATTTAACACCTCATCCTTCTTCGGAAAATGACATCACGTAAGTTCACGTCAGTTTGGTAGACTGGAAACAAGTGCAGACCTTCTATCAACACGAGGCGCTGGTACCCAGGGTATGATCTGTACCCAGTCGCTTTAAATATAATACATGAACTATTCAGGCAGGCAGATGTCTCATTTTACTTTTTTTTTACAATAACATTGGGTGTTTGGAAGACACAGACCAAGAAATAGCAGACCTCAGACTCAGAAAACTCAGACGCGGAAAACTCAGACCCCAAAAATTCACTCCTCGAAAATTCAGACACGGAAAATTCAGACCTATGCATACTAGTGTATATCTTTTCAAGCTCCCTCGATGGGTCTCGTGTCAAAAACCTAGACAACTCCAACCGAGCGATCGTTCGAGTCACCAGCCGAAGCACGCGTCGCCGAGCCACGGTCGCCGTCGAGCTATGCAAGCACAAGGCTGTAACAACCGGCCGGAAAGGCAGTTAGTCCACCTTTCTCGTGTCCTTGTCGCCCGTCGACAACCGACGCTCGCTCGCCAGAAGTGCGCAGATCGCACTCTGAGAGAAGCTCAGATTGAACTTCCAGTGAGTGTGAGTGTGTGACCCACCGTCTGCGACGCAGGCTATAAGACTTATTATAGGTATTAAAAGATGCTACACTACTTGGTATATTAGTAGACTGCGAGCAATCCCTCTATTTTCCTTCGTTTTATTGTTTCCCGGACTAAGGTTGAACGCACGGGAAAATGGCAAGCAGGAATTGCTCGCAGTCTACTTGGTATATAGTTAAAAGATGCTACACTACTTGGTACTCGAGCTCGTTTTAATAGGCGTAAAAAATAAAGACGCTTAGAAGCCTTGGATACAATATATAGTTTATGTGTGTCAGTGTGTTCCATTTCATGTCTGCGGAAATATAAGTGCCTTGGATTTTTGCCGAAGATACCGGGACTAGTTCGTGATTGTTTACGAAGATTGGGTTTAGTTTTGGACGATCTTTCGCAAAACGAGATAATCATATCTTTGCACTTATTGATTAAGTTTCATGTCATTCTTTATACACCAGCTGTTTATCGCATTAACAAGGGATTGCATCTTCCCTTGCTCACCTTTATTAATAACCTCAGAGTAAGTTATAGAAAAGGTCGCATTTATCTTGGCAAGAAGGTAAGCGGTAAAGGTGTTAGGTGACTCCAGTCCAATGACTTGACAAATTTCCCAAGTGACGCCATGCTGGCCGCGGTTTCAGTTTTACGTACAGTTTTCTTAATAATATTATTGGGTTGTTTAGTTTGAACAGCAGGAGTAGCAAGAACAGACAGGGTGGTCATGCAGACAGACCAATAATTGCTGATAGGATCTCAGGTTCGTTGTACCACTTGTGCATATTGGTTAAGATCAAATCTAAAATGGCTGATTGCCGGGTAGGTTTCTTAACAGTTTGTTTTAAGGAAGAATGGCGGGGTAAAGTTTTATAGTCAAAATGATTGAAATCGCGCCCAATATCATAATTCCTGCGTTAGGATGGTCTAATAATAGTAGTTATCTACCGTCGAAAATAGGTAATCTTGCAGGACATTGTTGTCAGCTAGTGGTGGATGGTATTAAAATCACGCCAACAAAGATGCAGGATAGTTCGCAAGGTAGTCGGTAAGGTCTGAGTTTTAATCACAGACCTTCATGAAAGTGCACACTCCGGATCCTCCGCCGCGTTTGCCGTTTTCACGATCGTTTCGAACTATAGTATATAGTAGCCTGGGAGGGATATATTGGACCATCGGTGACTCTATGTTTTTGATTTTTTTGTTGCTTTTCACTTTTCATGCTAGTAAGCGTTATCGGTAGGTGGTGTTGAGGGGGACACGACAGGGGGCCGTAGAGGAGTTATATATATTGATGTCAACAGAGGTGGTGGGAAACTGGTATACACATGGTCGAAATATTGGATGATACTGATTACTGAATCAATAGTTTTAACATTACGCGGTAAGTTCTGGTCGGGTGTACACGGAATATACAGCCCAGTATTGCGTAAGTATTGCGTTTTGTTGCCGGCGGAGGAGGTTCAGAAGTTGGAAACGTTTACGAAATAATTTGCCACTAATAATTAAATTGTGCGCAGCCACGGCTGAAAAAACTCGTACAGTATGTTTCGGCATTTCCTGTCGTTTCGAGACGATTCTTCGATATAATTTCACATATATTAAATTAAAGTTTCGTGTTTGTAGTGTAAATTTTTGTAATGTTTTATACTGCCCAATGTATTATCCAGGTGATCTCGTGTTCGTATTTTAGCCAATCAGCGCTCAGAAAGGGTTGTCCGAATAGAAATCCATTTTGATGTATTCAGTCAATTATATCTTTCGTTATTCTTTATGAAACCAGTTGAAATTTTGTAATTATGTTTGGTTATGAGAACTATAGCTCTGACAAAAATATGGAATCGAAATAAAGTATATTACGGGAGATATTCAGTTGTTTTAATCACAATACAATACAACAGTAGAAAGTAATCCATTATTACATAATAAAATAGAACATAGTCAAATACATAATGAAACAGAAATGGGTAGCGATTTTTCGGATAAAATTAATTGTCTTCCCAATCAGCGTGGATTTAAAATGGCTTTTTTAAATATAGTAAGCTTGCCAAAAAGATTTGATGGAATTAACTTAACTATGTCAAACAAATTACTCGATATAATGTCATTTAGTGAGACCAGACTTAATTCAACCATAACTGATGGTATGATTCATATAGATGGGTATGACATTATAAGAAAAGATAGGTCTAGAAATGGTGGTGCTGTTTGCATTTATCTACGTAATTCTATAAACTACCAAATCAGACAAGATCTTATACCAGCCGATCTAGAAGCTATATGCATAGAGATAACTAAACCGCATAGCAGACCATTTGTGGTTGTTACGGTTTATAGACCCCCAGATGCTTCATCGAATTATTTATCCATCTTGAAAACCTATTAAAAAAGATTGATAATGAAAACAAGGAAATCTATATACTGGGTGATCTTAACTGCGACCTTTTTAAGTCTATTCCTGACCATCCAACTAAGACACTTAAATCTTTACTCGAAATTTATCAATTTATCCCAGATAATTGATAAAGCCACACGGATCACTAGGACATCCTCCACACTTATTGATCATTTTATTACCAA